TCACCAGCAGAGGGCATGTGGAGAACACACCTGACCTGGTTTCAGACTCCACCTACTACAGCAGCTTTTACCAGCCATCTCTGTTCCCTTACTACAACAATCTGTACAACTACCCGCAATACTCCATGGCCTTGGCTACTGACTCCACTTCTGGGGATGTAGGAAGCCCTCTCGGGGGATCCCCTGTGAAGAACAGCCTTCGGAGCCTACCAGCACCTTATGTGCCTGGTCAGGCAGGAAACCAGTGGCAGGTAAGATGTTACCCAGAGGGTAAACTGGATATGTGAAAACCACACACACACATACACACACCCAGCTGTCTCACATGTGTGTACACATTATATAAAATATGTAAAGAATTTTTCACTCTACCTATAACATCATTTAACCCCAGAGGTACCAAGGAATTGTAAAGAAATATGCATACATTTGTTTTTCTCTTCAAATTTCACTTTTCACATTTTTCAGAGTCTTTCTGCATACATACGTGATTGGCTAAAGTTAGATCACAAGTAGCGTATTGTATGAAACCCCACCTCCTCTGGCCTTGTACCTACTTAGAAAATGCAGGTATAGCCTTCTGGGTGGCAGTAATCTTCATGATAATTTTGCACCCTGTGAGGGAGAAATGTTAAAGTCTGGTATGTTTGCATGGAAGAAAGGTAAGAAAAGAAATTTGGTTACTATCATGCTGGTCCAATGTGGGTGCATTGTTTTTGTTTGTTCGTTTGTTTGTTTTTAGTTTATTTTAACATGAGTGTGTTTTTAGTTGGGAATGGAGGGCAGTCTTTCATACTCTTTTTAAAATAATGTGCAATCAAGAGCTTTTAATATTTGAGGTAAAACAAAGCATTTTGCATTATCAGGGAAGGAGAGTTTATCTAGAACTGTTCTGCTCCCTCAGTTAAAAGCATTTACAGGCAGGATTACTATCTTGTGGGAGTGTGTACACATGAGTGCTTGTGTACACACTGCCAACCCCGCTCTGATTCTGCAAGAACTGTTCTTGTTTTGGATGCATTTACCATACTCAGGCTTTCTTAGCTGGGCTTTGATTGCAGCACAAGGCAACATAAATATTTGAGAGTTTAGGCCGAATCTTTGACCTTCTTATGTCCGCTCTTTAAAAGTGTGAGCTGAATTTTTTTCTGAACAGTTCTGTTCCATTTTGCATTTTTTAGGTGTGGGGATGTTGTTAATTTTCAGGTCACCCCATTTCTTGGATTCTCTCACTACTCTTAGGGATCTGACTTTTTTGGCATATTAATTAATATGTGAGCTTTAATCCCCTGGGCTATGCATTTTCGTGTTTTCCATACATTTTATTTTTAGAATCATAAGGGAGTTTAAAGCATGTTGGTGTTAGAATTGAAAGGTAATATGAGTGTAAAGGAAATGTGATGATCTATGGATCTTCAAGCTAGACCCCTGTAGGCCTTTCGGAGTGCCAGTTGAGTTTTGTGATTTGGGGCAGGTTTTAGGTTGATTGCTAGTAGAGACTTTATCTCTGAAAGGAGAAGAAAGTACTTTGTGGTTCTAAAAAACCCAGCTCATCCTGCAGATTCCTCTGACTGCTTCCAGGCTTTAAGGATAAAGTAGGAAAGGTCTGTGAACCTGCTGGCCTATGAGAAAGAATGAAAGAAAAAT